CACTATTCACTTTCATCAAAGGCGCTGACAGTTACGTACTTGACAAATAAACTCTTGAATAGAGGTACATATGACTACTTCCTCGACCCTCCAGGCAATTACATGATTACCCCTAGTATCTTCCATTCAGCAAATCCGTCCGTTCCGTATCTGCGAAACACCCGAAAGTTCGGAAAAAGGTGGTAGGGTATATCCCTGAGACAAGCTTTATCTACTTGACTTTCGCGGCATTGCACTACACTAGGAAAAGCGAGAGTTGTTGCTGGGTTTGATTACTACAATTGGATGTTTGTCTCTGCTCCTGAGTGGGGGGTGTGGGGTATCTGAAAGGAGTTGATTATAAGAGGAAGGTTCTTGAAGTCGGATCATCTTGTCATAACCGGGAATGAATATCATACGGTTGTGGTACATTAGATTGATTTGGGATGTTATCATTGTTGTATGAGCCGAGATTGCTTGGAACGCACTCCCAGTATCTATGGCATGTCGCTTGCTTTGATGTAGAATGACTTTCTCTTCTAGTAAAGGGACCATTTTACCTTATTAAGTTAAATTTTCCAATGCTAGTTTGCAAATGGGAAAATAGTGGTAAGCGCTATAGTTGGCGCCGTCTGAACGCCGTCTGGTGCGCTTGAACAAATCGAAACAATTCCGGCGCTAGATATGCAGGCGTTTGACGCCTATTTCTATTTCAGAGACACTAAGTCTGGCCCTACAGCAGCGTCTAAGGAGACTCATAACTGGCCTCGGACACTAGATCGCTCAAATATCGTGATCTCTCTCCATCGTAAGCTAGATGGCGTCCCACGCACAAATCAATGACCCGCCGCACGCGTTCATGCTCAAATAGCAATTTTATGCGTAGCTCCTCGGCCTCTTCTGCGGACATTGGCCAGTCTCTCACTTGATCCATTACAGACCACACCAGCTCCAGAGGTAAGCGTTGATCGAGCCGAGCTGCCTGTCGGGCTGCAGCAGCCCACCACTTATGTTGCTGCGGAGGAACATTCTGCGTTGAACAGATGCGATAATGTGGATCGACGAGCCGAAGTTTGATCAGGGTTAGATTCCCCGGCTGTCTGGGGTCCACCAAGCGGAAGGACTCCAGCTTCGATCGATAGGTATTGGGCCAGCTGAGAAGACGGCCCTCTGTGAGCGGGACCGACCCGAAAGTGTGCAGTGCCCAAGGGGCCTCCTCCTCGTACCGCTCCGGGAAATTTACATCATAAACTGCGCCAAGTGCTTTAGGCACCTGACACTGGAGCTCTGAGGCGTGGATTTTGTCTTCGTGTTCAAAGGCCAAGCGGACTTGGGTGAGATTCTTGCACTCCACAACATACAGACTGGTGGCTGCTATCCGGTCGTTGCGGAGCCCCTCAGTGTGGAAATGCCTCTCTCCGTTATAGATGGGATTATCGGGGTGTATTTCGATGCGGGTAATTTCCACTACAACCTGCAAACCCTTATCTTGAAACTGTTTCTCTAAATGAATAGGCTTGCGGTCATGGTGTAGCGGATCCGGGTACTTGCTAACTCGCTGCGCGTGGATTGTACGACCTGTAAATTCACCTTGCTTCCACTGCTCATACGAATACGAGACGCCGGGTTCTGGGTGATTGAACCAAGCTCGACGAGTGCGTTTGAATTCAGCGACCCGACAAACGTGGGTAGGAACATCCCATTGATCGGGAGTGAGCAGATCCATCAAATTGGCGGGCTTGTCAGGCAAGGGCTCCACCTGCTTCCATTTGGGTGGTTCAGGGCCTTCAATGTACTCACGAGCTGTGTTGCGCAGTATTTCCCACTCTTCGTAGGTGTCACACTGTAGCTGCCAGCGGGGCCCGTAATGAAGAGCATCGAACAATTTGTGCTCTTCTCTATAGTTATGAATCTCGCATCCATATGTCAGGATACGTGGTGGGCGACAGCCACGGGTATTGCCGTAAAATAGGATCTCATTCCAGGAAGGAACGGAGCTTGCTATGAGGCGTTCAAGATACCTATACAGTTTCTGGTGTTTTCCCGGGTGAAGGCTATTGACGTATGAAGTAATGCGAACATCCAGGGGGTCAGTGTTATTGAACTTCACCTCACAAGGAAGCCATTGGAAGCGGTTTGACCAGCAGCTCTCCGGTCCTCCCTGACCAGGCCTGCGACCCAAATGATGGGGCCGGTCTTGGGGAAGACCCATGGGATGAGGAGGTAGCTCTCCAGCGGGTTCTTCGGCCGAACCCCAGAGATAATTGTCAAGGGAGGTCCGTCCCCCAAGAACCAGGACTCGAGACTGATTGTAGACAAGGGGATATAAAAATGGATCCACTAAGCGATTATATTGAATGTAGGGTCTGGGCTGCGGGTGTGGGGCCACCAGTCGGTCTATCTCCGCTTGGACCCCTTCTTTCAAAGACCAGGACAGGGACCCTTGATCTGACAGACACACATCGGCAAGACACACAGCCGAGGAACTGTCAAAGACTAGGATGCGGCCTGTTTCTCGCCACGTTTCTGCTTTATCGCGCAGTTCCGCCAGGCACCATTCCCATACAGCGGTGCTGATCAAGTGACCATCCGGTCCTTCTGTGGCCTCGCGGTACCATTGCGCGATCTGCATCTCATCTGGATCCAGTACGGCAGAATCCCATCCAGGTTTCTCTGTGACCTGTTGCATGAGACGAAGCATGGCCATCTCCCGCTTGGTCAACCGAGGTGTGTGGCGGTAGTCCAACAACCCATGCGCAAAGCGAGCCTCTGGCGGGAGCTGAAAATCCAAGGGAATGGAGCCGAACCCAGGCACTTGAAGCGATCCCTCCCCGTCATTGGTAAGAGTCGCCATTACTGAAGAGTTCTTCGCTGTGTAAATCAGTGCGTTCTGGTTTCGCTCGCAGGAGACATGAGCCCTGTGGCCCTGGTCTAAATAGTGTCAATTTCTTCATAACCCACTAGTGAGTAACAAGTTAGCCTTGGATACCTAAGCCTTGTGCTTGCTCTTTCCCCTTTTCGGATCCATCTCCGACTCCCTAGGACACACTAGGTTAATTAATATAGACAACAGACAAATCAGGCGATGTGGAATGTGCAATGCCTGCGAGTGAGGTCACTATCCGGGTTCAGCGTGTGTGGATAACGTGAACGAGGCCGCCAGCTAACATTCCAGCTGGACCTTCTCGACTCCAGACGAGTAAAGAACATATAAAGGGACAGTCCGGGATTATCAGTGCACTACTAAGTATGTTCAAATATAAATGTGCCACAGCTTGTTCAATATCTGACATTAGGTAAGCTCCAAAGTATCACATTTTGGGATGCTTCCTAAGTAAGAAACCAGTGATTGTTAGAGATCATTAGGAAACTTCTAAAATAGTACATTTGAAGGTACTATAGCATCTTGTCACGTGTTTGTGCTACTAATCACGGATCAGGGTCTCTCTTAATCTGACTGGTCGATTTTCTGGTACCTGTCGTTTCCCCTCCAATTCAGCTGTTCACCACAAACTCAACATAAACAAAACGGCGACTTTCCTTTGCTTACACCTACCCCTGTGCCATAGATCTGTATTCCTAAAAGCACAATATACCGCAAAATACAAGTAGACAAACATGTCAAATAAAACAGCCCCTGAGACCCTCCGCCTGCCAACCGTCCCCGAGATCGAGGCAGCAACAGAGCGCCTAAGCATGTCCGATGCATACGACCAAGTTTTCCGCGTGGGGGAGCGCTTCGCAGTAAAATCAGGCTACGGCGTACCTCTCATCGAGGCTGAAACCATGAAGTTCCTCGAAAACAACCAAGTACCAGTTCCAAAAGTCCATGCAGCATTTAAGGACCCCGGGAATAAGAAAACCTATATTATCATGGACCATGTCCCTGGCGACACCCTTGAGGCACTGCTGCCATCGCTTGAACCGAGCGAAAAGGCCACGATATGCAAGTTGATCAAGGACGCAATCACAAAGCTACGGAGTATACCTGCCCCTGGGTACTTCGGTATGGTGAACCGCCAACCCTACCTTGATGGAGTATTCTGGACTGTCAATGATGATCCGAAAATCTCTGGACCCTTCACAAGCCAAGAGGGCTTTAATTCTGCCATCATCGAGAGACTCCGCCAGATCGAATCAGAACAGTACATTCGCTTATTGCGACCCATGATTGAACGGACTCTGACCGGCCACCGTCCGGTTTTCACCCACGGTGACCTTCAGCCGAAGAATATCATGGTCGAGAGGCTCGGAGTTCGTGACGGATGTCCGGAGTTTAAGATTACATTACTGGATTGGGAGGGTGCTGGGTGGTTCCCCGAATACTGGGAATTTTGCAATGCGACGATCGCCTGCAGGTTTAAACCTGCTTGGCTTGATCTTGTGCCTGATATATTGGAGCAGTATTCGTTGGAATTTCTTATGATGCAGGTGGTGTATGCTGCGGTGTTTTATTAGGTTGGGAAGGGTTGGAGTAGACAGGCTTTTTGGTTTTATGATATGATGACACTAATGCTGCGTATAGTGGTAGTATATAATAGAGAGGACTGAGGATTAAGTACTACTTTATGAAGTCAATGTTCGAGACAACGGGTGACAAATTATCGTAGATAATAGAGTGTAGTAAATTAATCTAGACACACAGTTTGAGTTCGAGTTTACCTGCACGTTTATGTATAGTGCAGTGCTTAACTCTTGCCTACGGCATGCAGGTACTTTTGAGTCACTCGCTCGGAGAATAACTGCGCCCACAGCAGCACTACAGGGCATACAAGAACCTTTGGGATGTTCCGAGATTATTTCAGGACCAAAGCCAAGCCTTAGCTGGAATAACTTATTAGGGTTAGGTCTGAACTGCACTCAAATTACGGACTACTGATTGGCACTGCATGGGCAGCTACATCTTCAATATAGCTCTAAATGCACCATGTGATAAGACTACTGTACTCTAGATACAGCTTGGACGTAGGCAGGACTCAACCCCCACAGTCGATGCATCCCATCAAGTCACACACCTTTTGCTAAGAATGTGTCTTGGCGTGGTTCTTCAGGATGCTCATTACCTCCTGCTTATCATCCGCCATTTCAGACTCGTCTCTTTCCCCCCACGGAAATGAATACAAAAAATCCTCTAATACCTCCAAATCACACTCTTCGACCTCATTCAGAGGTGTCTCGACGGGGTTCTCGGGACTGAAATCATCTAAAGCAGAGTCCACAATGGCTCCCGCATCAAGTAGAGCCTTCACACATTCAACCTGGCCCCAATATGAAGCTGCATTCAATGCGGTTTTATGCTTTCCAGTTACCAAGGCCTGGTTGACACCAGCCCCCTGTTCAATGAGAAACATAACAATCTCAACGCTTCCTGATGCGGCTGCTGCTGCAAGCGCACTTCCCAGTGATCCAGTCTCCAGCTGAAGATGGACACTTGCGCCCTTGTCGATCAGGAGTCGGACGCTGTCAATTTTTGCTCCATATGCTGCAGCGGCCAGGGCACTTTCGAAGAATCCTGAGAGAGCCCTATCAATTGTTGCTCCTTTGCTGATAAGGTACTCCATAATTTTGACATTTTCTGCACAGGCAGCACCAGCAAGTTCACTTCCCACGAGCCCATTCTCGAGAGGCAGATCAACCATCGCTCCTTTATCTACCAGAAGTCGGACCACTTCAAAATGGCCACAAGTTGCGGCTATAGCAAGGGCACTTCCGCACTGGCCGAGCGGCATGTTGGTATCCGCTCCATTTTCAATTAGGAACCGAACAAACTCAAGCCGCTCATAATATGCAGCAACTGCAAGGGCGCTTCCATGACTTCCTGGAAGCACCAAATTGACGTTTGCACCCTTGGAGACCAGAAATCGGGCAACCTCAAGCTTACCACCAGCCGCTGCAGCGGCAAGAGGGGATCCATAGCACCCTCCAAGTTGATTTATAACCGCTCCATACTCAACTAGGAGCTGAACCACTTCAAGATGGCCGGAACTAGCTGCAGTTGCAAAACTATTTCCATCTTCTCCCGCCGGCTCGTTGACAGTTGCTCCCTTGTCCAGCAGAAACCTGGCAGCCTCAAGCTCACCACCAGCCGCAGCAGCGGCAAGAGGGCATCCAATGGACCCTCCGGGTAAATTGATTATCGCTCCATTCGCAATTAGAAGTTGCATTAGTTCAAGCCGACCGGCGTATGCTGCAGCTGCGAGAGGGCTTCCAATCTTGTCTCCCCCGAGTTGATTAACATCCGCCCCTTTGTTCAGTAGTAGCTGGACCGCTTCAATATTACCATAGAAGGCAGCAGCAGTAAGAGGGGTTCTATGGTATTCCCCAAGCTGGTTGCTATCAGCCCCTTCGTCAAGCAGGAACTGAATGGCTTCAGGACTACGTAGAGAAGCTGCAGCCACCAGCGGGGTTTCACCGGATTCTCCACGGAAATTGATCCCTGCCCCTGCCCCTTTCTCTAATAATAGTCGTGCTATATCAAGGTGGCCATAAGACACGGCAGCTGTCAGAGCAGTTCCGTGGTAGCGATTAACGTGATTAACAGAGGCTTCGTTTTGTACCAGGAATTCCACAATATCCCTATGACCATTTTCCGCCGCCAAGTATAGAGCATTGCCCCCATCACCCTCATAATCAATAAGTGCACCATTTTTCACAAGCCTCTGGCAAATCGGAAGATGGTTATTCTTCGCAGCTAAGATCAGAAGGCTTTCATCTTTTGAATTCTTCAGAGTGTTATACAGTGCCCCAGCGCTTTTCCACCAATCAAGAAGTATTGCATCGAGGCCAAATGAGCACATAGCAAGTATTGGAAGAGTCGGTGGGGAGAGGTCTTCTGAGATCATCATGTAGGTCTCTAAAAACCTGCCTACATATTTCAATTCGTGCAATCTCCGATTAAAGTTAAATTCGTCGTCCATCACAGCGTCGTACCACCTTTGATAGAAAGGTCCGCTTTGTGTTGGTGAATTCAGAAATCTTTTGAGCAATGAGATAAGCCCATTATCAAAGACTTCCGGATTTGACACCATGGTCTCATAGCGTTGAGCATGGTGCATCCAATGATACCGACAATACATGTGGAAGTGGTTCGTGAGGTGTGTACTGGAATCATCGGTTGACACCTGCTCATCAGTTGATACCTGATCATCAGCGGCTACAAGTGCCCTGGCTGTTCTTTCGGTGGTGTAGGTTGTATCATCTTCCGCTTCACCATGCGCGACCATAAGAGACTGCAGGCAAGCCTTGGCAGCATAACAGTCCGCCTCTCGCGTGTCCCACAATTCCCTCTCGATGAATTCCACTACAGAAGCATGTGGAAATCTCAGATAGCCTGTGGACTCGTCGATTACAAGCAAATTTTGACAAAGACCTAGTAGCGCTTTGATGCTAATCTCTTTTTCTGGCGCATTGTGATCTCCGAGAAATCGAATAGCTGTCACAATGTACTCTGGGCTCACAGGCGAGTATGAACACATCACCCACTTGAAAGCACGATCCACGAGCTGTTTCTGGGAATGGACTCTGGATATCCGGTCATAGATTTCCTTATAAGCATCTGATAGCTCCTTCGGCATAATTGCAAGGCGTTCTCGAACAGCACTGTCAATATTACAGTCCTTGAGTTGTTCAATTTGCAAATTCACCCACTGGAACCTGTTTCGTGGATCAGTATTTGCCCGTCCGAGGAGGCACGGTTAGCTTGAATACAACAGCGAAGCTTACATTCCGTTGCTCTTTTCTGTGAGTGTATCGATCGTTTCTGTTTGAACTTCCTTTGAGATACTCGTCCACTTGTTGTCCCAAAGATAGGTAATCCTATTTCTAATAAAGCTTCTGATATCCTTTTCAACGCCCGGATTGTCGGTATATATAACGGGGAATCCTTCAAAGCAGGCCATAATATCCGGCTCCGGACGAGCAGAGACAAACACTCTTACTGAATACTCCGATTGAGTCAACAACAAACTGATGATCTTGAAAAGCTCATGTCTTGACTCCTTGTCACATTCATCAAGAGCATCGAGGACAACTGTGATTCGGCTATACTGGTCCACTGACTGACGCAGGTACTGTGTGCAGGTTTCAATATCTGGTTCGGTCTCCTGATCTTTCATCTTGGCAAAGAGGCTCTGAACATCTTTGCGAATCTTGATACTGGGAGACTCTTTTTCGGGTGGACATGCCAATTGGCGCAAAAGGCTCCTGATCACATCACCTGATAACTGAAAGCTCTGTCCTCTACGTTCACAATAGTAGAAAGCCAGTCCCTCATTAGGCTCTCTAGTTTCCAAAAGATGATCAATGACCATAGACGTCAAGAAGCTTTTCCCAGTGCCAACTGTGGTTATAGTCAATTCAGCGATTCCCTTGTCTTTCCCCCTTGGAAGCGGAAGACTTACTGGACCCTTGCAACCAGGTAACCTCTGGTGAAATGCTCCGCTCCCAGTCTTCGAAGATTGGATCATGAAGAATCCATTGGCATGTATCGGCCGCTCGGTCTTTCTTCTTGGGGTTATGACGGTCAAATGGCTTGTGTGGTGAAATCCAGGTGAGAATATCTGACACTCGCCATTCATCCATCTGCTCAAAGAGGGCATTGAAGCTTTTCACGACGAATGAATCAAACCCACGGAACTTTTCCAGTACTTTGAGGATATCATTGATATTTTCACTCATTTGGCCAGTTATCTCATTCTGACAATGTTGGACGATTTCAAGCAGCTCGGCAAAACGATTTTTCAGATTTGTAACGTGGTCTTGCCCTGTCTGCGGTCTCAAGAACGCACCAACCAGGTGAGAGGCGGTATGCTCTTTGAATCGCTTGGAAGCGAATATGAGAAGCTTCAATGCTGCGACATAGAGATTGACAAGAGCGGACTGAAGCATTTCCCATAGCTCAAGGTCCACCTTCCCTCGATAAATCTCCTCGTATGCGCTTCCGCAGCTGATATTCCGGACGAGGATATCGGCCGTCATGGCTGCAGCTGCAGTTTCCGCGTCTGCATTGGTCGGCACCTGAATTCATCAGCCAAAGGATTACTGCGAGAAGACTTGTGCTTGGAACATACCTGCAAAATACCTTTAACCAAGGGCCAGACTATGCTCGCGGGCTGGGGCAGGAATTGAACGCCGATGTCCCCAACTGTGGTAAGACAATCAATAATCCGCCCAGTGTACTCCCGAGGGATGATCGTGTGGCCATGGATCTTGATTTTGTAGGTTCGATCATTCCATTGCTTCTGCCTTTCCCGAGTCATCTCGATTATTGTCCGAACATCTGTACCTGTAATGGTAGATGATGTTGGCTCCTCATTTGACCGGAACTCAGCCGGTGTCACCATGAGCTCTTTGAGCTGTTCTTGCTCCTCTGGTGACAGGGACTCAAAGCTCTTTTGCCACAAGTCTTCGGGGGATTTATTGGCAGGGACCGTTGGCGTAAGTGAATCCTCTCTCTCGTAAGACGCGTCGTTCGCTCCCGCATCCTTCTTCGCCGTCAATGGAAGGCTGTCAGGGTCATTGGGGTTGGTCTTCTTGTCAGCATCATTTGACAGAGACTCGGAGGTAAGTCTCGGAATCTGGGGAATTGACGAAATCTTGCAAGGTCTCGGTACGGGATGGGCATTAGGGAAGGTGGCTGGTGCGGTAGCAGAGGAAGAAGGTCCTCCAGTAGGACTGTCCTTCACTCCTTTCGCTCTCGAACTTCCCCTTTTCGACGTAAAGATCTTGAAACAGTTTAAGAGTCCCATGGGAGAAAGGGTCATGTAGCTTGGCGGCTTGTTTGGCGAGGAGACTCAGCTGGCTAAGATCGTTTAGCTCAAATCGCGTAGACCATGGCGAAGCGAAAAGAACGCAGATAAGAAGGAAAAGAAGGAGTCTTGCCTGCTACTTAGTGTTAGCCAGGTCGCAGGCGAGCTCAGCTCATGCAGCCCAGAGACCCAATCAGATTGACAAGGCGAGAGGTTTGCAGCTGCGGAGCCATCCATGGCGCTAAATGTTTGTTGGCCCAAAATCGGGGCTGACGAGGGACAGGAGTTGTCAAATCGTCCTCGAACATGCTGTTAATCCAGTTCAGCCAACGCAACCTTTTTCATGATGTCCAGTGTATATGTCCAAATTTGCTGCACGGAGTACTCGGAACTCGTAAGGGAAGAAAGGGCAAAGTGCCAGCATCAGTAGTACTAGGCATCGTCGTGTCCAGCCCCACTCCCCGGGGATCATCCGCCCGTAGTTTGTGCCCGATCGCGGATCTGTGCTCAAGAGGGGTGCGAACAGCTGTCACTCAAGGAACGAGAGCCAGATTCCACTCCTGTGCAATCTAGAAAGATAGGTTAGAACAATTCGGACATATTTCTCGACTTGCCTACTCATCACCTTTGGCCAAGCAATTTACGGTTCAATAAAACGCTACACATCATGGCCAGATAAACTATATTTCCGCCAGATGCTAACATCAGATAAGAAGAACTTTCAACTGCTAAATAAAGATGACAGCCTTGACTTGACTTCCAAAGCCTATGGATGTAGGCCGTCGCTCACTTATGCCGACGTGTACTGTATCTCGCAAGTAGCCTGATTTGTAGGTGTTTTTGATACAGACATGTAGGCTTCATTCTCAATCTGACCCAATTACGACTCATTTAGGGAGAAATCGCGAATCTTTTGCGAAGTCTGGATCCTCGCGCAAGTCATTCTTTCTCCCCATTACTCATTGTTTTGATACCTTGCCTTCAAGTCAATGCCGGCTTTCCAGAGGCACCAGTAGCAATTGGTGAATTCTGGGCATGTAACAGAGGACTTATCTCAGCCGATAAAACGAGTCTTAGTATTGATGCAGGAATCTCGAAGATCTCGACCCCAGACCAAGATAATAGTCTACCCCAATATCCGTAATGCCCGAAACCTCGAGCAAGGCGGCAAAGTATTTCAGAAAGTAGCATAACATGCAAAGTGGATTGTGCCGTGAGGAAAGCTGTCGTATCACCAGCTCCTCGGACTCGTCTTAAATGCCTTACCATCTCTGTTAACCATGGGCAGCCACCAAATGAAGTGTTTAGTGTCCCGGCGAAAGGCAGAAGGGCTTGTCGGGAACGCGGGACATGAAATCTTCAGCTTCCAATAAAGCCATCGGGAGATGTCTAAATGTTCGAGCCAACGTGCTCAGGACCCACGCGTCAGTCATCACGCGGCAGTAAACGACATATGACACGTTAATCTCTCGGACGGGGCGCGATGAGTGACATAAGGCCTTTTCTCAGCTATGGCCAAGGCGCGGATTTGCGAATCAAGGGAAAATCGAAGAAACTCGCCCGAGGAAACTGTTTACAGTCAGTTTAGAGCCTTAGTGTGAATCTGCAGCTACTTCAAGGAGGTTGGGGAAGGGCGGCGCTTCTATGAAAGGGATGCTGCCAGCTTGTCGCTTTGCGTAGAATATCGGACATTAAACAGGGAGTCTGGAGATTGAATCACAGAGTGCGCACTTAAATCAAATGAACTTGGAGAACGCACAACCACGTGCCTTGACATTGACTCTCCATGTGCTTGATCCGAATGCTGCAGGACACAAATAGAATGCAAAATGGGCCTCATAGTCACAAGTCGAGAGCAAATGCTAGCATCATAATAATCCGTATTTCATATATCCACAGAAGCGGAGGTATGTGTCCTGGGAATTCCGATAGGGCTGAGACATGGATTTAAGGTAAATGGAAGATACTATATTAGAGCGGTGTGCAAATATATATAATGATATGTCCTCATTTTCTCCGTGCTTAAGGCAATTGCGGACCACACAAAATATGTATGGTACCTCATTTTAGTTTGGATAGAATATCACATAATGAGAGAATTAATGAGACGACATTGAATATTCTACATGGTAGATAGATGGTTAGGTTGTCAACTTGTTCATTAATGCGAGGAACCCGTCCAGAAACGCCAATAATGCAGGAACGGAATAGCCACATGATGCGGGGATTTTAAGGTAAAATAAAACAAGGAGCTTGAGCAGATATTGCATACAGTCTACAGAGTATACAGCGGAAAAAGAAGGTTCAACGCAGTAGCTGTAAGATGCTAAATTCTTTGTTCCAGAAGGTACTCAACCAACGGCATCCCACCGAAAGGCCGAAAAAAGTACACTTTCCGATAACGGTTGGCATTGAGTTTGCTGAAAGCGCCAATCGGGCCGATGATTGGAGGGAAGTGAAGCCAGGCATCGGACCGGATCCAGAACCAAAAGCCAAGGCAGGCAAACCGGGTAGGATACTAGCGCTCACCGCCTGCAGTGGCCACAGGCTGCAAGCGTGGTCGATCCGTGTGGCGAACTGTCCCCCAAAGAACCAATGGACTGTGACGGAGACGGGCCATCTCGGCAGTTTTTTTTGGGGCTGGTGGCACTAACAGGCAGGAAGGTCTGTGTGTGCGGCAGAACCGCTCTCTGCAACCCCCTCCACCGAACTGCAATCCTAATACGAGACTAACCTAGAAAAGAGCTTTCTGCTTGCGATGACCTCACTCGGTTACACATTGGTGGCTGTTGTCCCGTCTAATCCTCGTCAGGGGATGTATTCCGTATTGAGAGTGAGTCGTCAGATGGGTATAAAATCCATACTGATTGAAATCAGTCCCTCAATTTGAAATACCAGTAGTAGATTAGATGTCAAGGAAAAATGCCATTCACGCTGTGACGGATGAGTCAATGCAGCAATTGGAACTCGGGGAAGGGAAGGGGAGGGGAGGAGGGGGATGGGACTTGACTGGCTCCGGATTGCGGACAGGAATTGCTTAGACTCCATAATTAGCAATGGAAAGAAAGCAAACGAAGGCTCCCAGTGCTCAACCCCCTCAAAATCCCCAAAAAATGTCGAGAAAAATTTTCTTCGGAGGCGGTCAGGGCCAGCAGAACGGCTCATGATCCCCGGATCGGTGAGTTCAACAGCCCAATGAGAGAGCTCCATCAAGCCCGCCGTACACAAAATTTTATTCTTGAGAATTCTTCTTTCTCCTCCTCTCCTCTCTCTTTCCTATATTCTTCCTCCTCCCGTGCAGAAGCAGCAGAATCACTCTACTCCCTCCCCTCTTGCATCTTTCTCAAAAGGGTCTTGGAGGCTGCTGATGCTACGGTAGAGAGAATACCCCCCAGTCATACAGTCCCCGAGAGGACCTTTTTCCCCTCCCCCCACATACACAGTCACCACCCAGAATGCCGCAGTCCGCTGGTCACGAGGAGGCTGCCCTCCCCTCCTCCCCTCTCTCTGGAGGCGCTGTGGCCTACAACCAGATCAACAAGGAATTGCAGCCGCTTCCCCCGATGGAAGCTCACAATGGGGCCGTGATCCCTCCCGCTTCGGCTCCCTACCGGGGCAGCAATGGGAGGATGGTCGCCGTCGAGCTTGAGGATGGCACCGTCTACCAGGGCTACAGCTTTGGTGCCGAGAAGAGTATCGCCGGTGAATTGGTCTTCCAAACCGGTATGGTGGGATACCCAGAGTCCATCACGGATCCCTCGTATCGGGGCCAAATCCTCGTCGTTACCTTCCCCCTCGTCGGTAACTATGGTGTCCCCTCCCGGGAGACCATGGATGAGTTGTTGAAGACTCTTCCCAAGTACTTCGAGTCCACCCAGATTCACATCGCGGGTCTGGTCGTTGCTACTTACGCCGGAGAGGAATACTCCCACTTCCTTGCTCAATCCTCCCTTGGCCAGTGGCTGAGGGAGCAAGGTGTTCCTGCCGTCCATGGTGTCGATACCCGTGCTCTCACCAAGCGCATCCGTCAAAAGGGTAGCATGCTGGGTCGTCTGCTGCTCCAGAAGTCTGAGACTGTCAGCGATGCCACTGTTATCCCCACGGAGAAGGACAGCTGGAAGCCTTTCTTCGAACAGATCGAATGGGTTGACCCCAACAAGAAGAACCTGGTCGCCGAAGGTAGGCACCCCACTCACAACTCAGGCGAGAATGATCATTTCTGACTTGTATATGACAGTGTCGATCAAGGAACCCAAGCTTTTCTCGCCTCCCGAGAATGTCGCCCTCAAACACCCCTCCGGTCGCCCGGTGCGTGTCCTCTGCTTGGACGTGGGCCTGAAGTTCAACCAGCTGCGCTGCTTGCTTGCCCGCGGTGTTGAGGTTCTCGTCGTTCCCTGGGATTATGACTTCCCTACTCTTGCTGGAAAGGACTATGACGGTCTGTTCGTCTCGAACGGTCCCGGTGACCCGGCTACCCTTGCCACCACCGTCAACAACCTCAGCAAGACCCTGAAGGAGGCCCGGACTCCCGTCTTCGGTATTTGCTTGGGTCACCAGCTGATCGCTCGCTCCGTCGGCGCCCAGACTCTGAAGATGAAGTTCGGTAACCGTGGTCACAACATTCCCTGCACTAGCATGCTCAGCGGAAAGTGCCACATCACTTCCCAGAACCACGGTTATGCCGTGGACTCTAACAGCCTCCCCGAGGGCTGGGAGGAGCTCTTCGTTAACGCCAACGACGGTAGCAACGAGGGTATCCGTCACGTCAGCCGGCCCTTCTTCAGTGTCCAGTTCCACCCTGAAAGCACTCCTGGTCCCAGAGATACCGAATACCTGTTCGACGTCTTCATCAACAGCATCAAGGACACCATGGCTTCCTCTGAAGCTCTTCAGAAGCCTGTCTCTTTCCCTGGTGGCGCCAAGGAGGAGAACATCAGAATCGCTCCTCGCGTTTCCGTGAAGAAGGTCCTGATCTTGGGTAGTGGTGGTCTGAGCATTGG